CCCACCCCCCGACTTCATTTTGGTTTCGATATTTGTAGGTTACGTAAAAATGTATCCACATGGTGCAAACTGTTATGTTTGAAGAAAAAAGGAACGAGAAAAAGGGGACTTGTTTAATCAGTGATGGTGGTGGTGATGATGATGATGATGATGATGATGATGATGATGATGATGATGATGATGATGAAGAGGAGGATGAGGATAATGATGAAGAGGAGGATGATGATGATGAAGAGGATGATGATGATGATGATGAAGAGGAGGATGATGATGAAGAGGAGGAAGATGATGATGAAGAGGAGGAGGAGGATGATGATGATAATGATGATGATGATGATGATGATGATGTGATGATGATGATGATGATGATGATGATGATGATGATGATGATGATGATGATGATGATGATGAAACAGCGAAGCACCTCACCACAACACCACAGACGCTGGTTGGGACTTAAGAATAAAGATCCTCATGTAAGAATGGTAATACTGATGCCTTTGTATCCCTCACAGCTCACGTAGGCCCTCACAGGCAAGGTTAAAGCCTGCCTCCTAAAAGATCTAAACTGGGTCGATGGGAACTTAAAAATCTTTTTTTTTTTCAAACCTCAGGGTCAGCAAGTGTACAACAAGACAAACTTACATAGAAATCACTGTACTGGTCGTCCTCCCCGATGTAGAGAAAGAAAACTGTGTCTGTGTGCTGGCCCAAAGCCTCGTTCAGTTTCCCGATACTGCTCAGTTTCCTCACAGTGGGTCTGTCAACAACAACAATTCAAATCGTGAAGAATGTTTTACACCCCAACTGAGACAATTCGGATCATTTATGGGGTGGTTTACTTCATCCCCACCGGCTGAATGGGGTACAACATTCCAGCAGACAGACGGAAATGTTCAATAAAATAACCACCCAACTCAGGAATCATTGGGTTTTTTAGTTTCAGTAAGGGTTTTACGGCATTTGCAACAAAAATAGGTCATATAAGTACCAATCATGATTAGAAGTGTTGCGAAATAAAGAAAGAGATAAGGTCAATAGATAGTTGATAGGAAAGAACGAGGAGAGATAAGGACGATAGATGTTTGATAGGAAAGAAGGAGAAGAGATAAGGACGATAGATGGTTGATAGGAAAGAAGGAGAAGAGATAAGGACGATAGATGTTTGATAGGAAAGAAGGAGAAGAGATAAGGACGATAGATGTTTGATAGGAAAGAAGGAGAAGAGATAAGGACGATAGATGTTTGATAGGAAAGAAGGAGAAGAGATAAGGACGATAGATGTTTGATAGGAAAGAAGGAGAAGAGATAAGGACGATAGATAGTTGATAGGAAAGAAGGAGAAGAGATAAGGACGATAGATGTTTGATAGGAAAGAAGGAGAAGAGATAAGGACGATAGATGTTTGATAGGAAAGAAGGAGAAGAGATAAGGACGATAGATGTTTGATAGGAAAGAAAGAGAAGAGATAAGGACGATAGACGTTTGATAGGAAAGAAGGAGCAAAACATACCAGAGCATAACTTGATAAGGAATCGAATTAACATTTTAACCCTTCACAAAAGTGGCTGGGACTGGAAGGGTTAAACACACAACAGCAAACACCCTGACCACCACACAACAGAGAAAGAAACAGCAGGTAGCACATTTCACCTGACACAGCATGGCAAGGGTTCACTGCCCCTTTCAGCATTGTAAGGTCATTCAAGGAGCAAGACTTTCAATTTAATCCCAACCCTGAAAATAAGCACACATCCAACCTGAATGACTATCATGCATCTCCACCAATACATCACCACATTTATCAAACAATGACATCCATGTTATAGTTCTAGTACCACTTGTACTCCACCTACCCCTGAGCTCTCAAGGCAAACTCAATGAGGTCCTCCTTTGTGCGATCTCCTCTGTGCGTGAACGTACGGTCTCCGTGGACACTGGAAAATGAGCAAACAAACATTTTGATTTCCAAAAACTGAAACACAAAGCACATCATAGGTATTTGTTGGTTTTTTTTATTCAAAATTTAGAAAAATACAATACATCATCTCTACATCACTGTGTCCAATTTATAAGACTCTAGTTATAAAAAAGAATTAAGCATAAAAGGCACATATTTTGCCCCCACCACTTGAAAAAAAAAATGTTTTCAAAGAAATACCTCTCTTCTAATCAAGAAATGTGACACTAACAGTCCTTGTGTCTCCTAAATATCTGGGCTGGAGGAAAATAATACAGCCTGATTTAAATTGCAGCGATACATTCTCATTCTAAACACAATCTGAATCAAATCAAGCATTATTTCATTAAGAGTTTTACAGCACTTGCAACTTGATTAGCTCCAATTTGTGCCAAATATTAGTGGTGTTACATAAAAGTAACAAACACAAAAAAGAAGGAGAGGTAAGGACGATAGATGTTTGATTGGAAAGATGGAGCAGACCACATCAGAGTACCCACCAACCAGCTACAAGAAGCTTTCCTATGAAAACCTTTTAGTTTTAGTTTTAGTAAGGTTTTACGGCGCTGGCAACTGCATAAGGTCATATGAGCGCCAAGGGGTGGATGTCGACAGGGAAGTCCAAACGGGAAATCAGACTTACTCTGCTCACCTCTCTAGCTTCAACAGCACAAAGTCTGCTTCGACTATCAAGGCATCCCAGAAATAGCACTTCACAAGAAAGTGACAAACATACAAAGGAAGTAGAGGAAAATGACGATAGTAAGGATGAGGAAAGAAAAAGCAGAGGTTCCCCCTATGTTGTTCCTGCACAGTATGAGGATGACATTGATAAATCAGCCCATTTACAATTCTACTGTGCATAAGAACATGTTAATAATATCCCCCCTTTGAGAATGGCCTTAAGACACTTCAGTGAGTAGCACTGCCCTGGGCGGAGGAATGATCGAATGTTTGACAGGAAAGAAGGAGCAAACCACACCACCACACCACCACACCCACTAACCCGCTACAAGAAACTTCCCTCTATGAAAACCTTTCTCCCCAACTCACAACATGATGGTGGGGAATCCCCTCACAGCAAACTCGGAGGCCACGTGGGAGTAGCGGGTACAGTCCAGTTTGCCGACCCGCACCGCGCTGCCCAGTTTGTGCAGTTCCTGGGCCACCTCACGGTACACGGGCTCCAGTTTCTTACAGTGGCCGCACCACGGCGCGTAGAACTGGGTCGGGAAACAACAGGCAGGGGGTTGAAGATTGGGTCAGACACACTCATAGAGATTGCGCTAACCCAGTGCTTTTTTGTCCTTTCTCCATTTTTAATAACAATGAAAATAGTTCATAACAAAGAGTGAGCTTAAGAACAAGTCACATTTACACTGTTAAAAAAAAAACATGGAGATACGACAAGAAAGCATTGAGGTTGCAATTGGATCAGATAATTGCTGAGACCACAGCTGTAAAACTGACCTATAAGAGACAGTTTGGCACACTTTCAGATCATCTTCTTTTCGTTCATCATTCAAAAGCATGAGCCCCTTTTTCTTTTTTATGTTCCTTATTGCTATATTGTACCATTGCTCTACTACACACAAATAAGTCATGGCTCTACTACACACAAATAAGTCATTGCTCTACTACACACAAATAAGTCATGGCCTACTACACACAAATAAGTCATTGCTCTACTACACACAAATAAGTCATGGCTCTACTACACACAAATAAGTCATGGCCTACTACACACAAATAAGTCATGGCTCTACTACACACAAATAAGTCATGGCTCTACTACACACAAATAAGTCAGTGCTCTACTACACACAAATAAGTCATTGCTCTACTACACACAAATAAGTCATTGCTCTACTACACACAAATAAGTCATTGCTCTACTACACACAAATAAGTCATGGCCTACTACACACAAATAAGTCATTGCTCTACTAGACACAAATAAGTCATGGCCATACTACACACAAATAAGTCATGGCTCTACTACACACAAATAAGTCATTGCTCTACTACACACAAATAAGTCATTCTCTACTACACACAAATAAGTCATTGCTCTACCACACACAAATAAGTCATGGCCCTACTACACACAAATAAGTCATAGCTCTACTACACACAAATAAGTCATGGCCCTACTACACACAAATAAGTCATAGCTCTACTACACACAAATAAGTCATGGCCCTACTGCACACAAATAAGTCATAGCTTTACTACACACAAATAAGTCATAGCTTTACTACACACAAATAAGTCATGGCTCTACTACACACAAATAAGTCATTGCTCTACTACACACAAATAAGTCACCTCACAGTTGGAGCACTGGGCTCAGAGGGAAGGGTAAAAAAGGAAATCAGGGACAGACGTTAAGCCAAAAGAAATATATCAGTACCTCTGTACACCATTATTAGACTGCTGTACTTTCCGCTCACTGACACGCATTGTTTTCGCCTCCTCCTGCCCACCCAGCAGTAATGGGTACCTGACTTCCAGTTGGGGAAGTAAAGGCGGCGTGGAAAGGAACTGCCCACCCAGCAGTAATGGGTACCTGACTTCCAGTTGGGGAAGTAAAGGCGGCGTGGAAAGGAACTGCCCACCCAGCAGTAATGGGTACCTGACTTCCAGTTGGGGAAGTAAAGGCGGCGTGGAAAGGAACTGCCCACCTAGCAGTAATGGGTACCGGACTTCCAGTTGGGGAAGTAAAGGTGGCGTGGAAAGGAACTGGCCACCCAGCAGTAATGGGTACCTGACTTCGAGTTGGGGAAGTAAAGGCGGCATGGAAAGGAACTGGCCACCCTACCACAATATGCCGAAGGCCCAGGAAGTTGTCTCACTAACAAGGCAATCCCCAATGTCCGAATCGAATGCGGGAACATCTTTACTTTTACCTTCCACTCGAGCAAATTAGGTCTGTTAATTATCCCCATACCAACAGGGGATTTGAAAAAGTGTAAATGTGTAAATGCCATGCAAAATTTTATATCTCAACGTAGGAACTACAGATTAAGTTTTCATAATTACAATTTCAATCTTGTCTTCGCCCTTTTCAAAACAATTTATCCAATAAATCCTACCTCCACAAGCCACATGCCATCTTTCCTGTACTCCAGGAACCTAGAAGAAAGAAAGAAAAACGAATTAACAAAGAGGAATTTCTGAGTTGGCATAGATAAAAACTAACTTGACGCACCATATTTCAATACAGAAAATGCTAAAGACTTTAAAACCATGGCCACATTACCCCACCCTTAGAAAATTCCATTCTCGGTTAAATGAAGTCAGAAAACTAAATGTGCCCATTTTTCTATTGGTGGAGAAAAGGAAGCTGCCAGTACTACAACATTGAGGTGGATCTCTCTGTTCTATCGGAGACCTCTTGAGACATCACACAGATTCTTCTATACATCTACTGGAAAGTGCAAAGAAAACTTGTAGACCAAAAATTTTCTTTTTATTGATATGCAATGAACTATTTAAAATTTTCCAGCAAGTTTTCTTATTTACTAGACAATATATCTTAAACTCGCTTCATTCAAGAAAAAAAATGGGGGAAAAACAAAAGAAAAAAGAAAAAAAGCATATGCCCTCTTTCTATCCTACGATGACATTCAAATGAAAGGAAAGGCATCTGCACTAGCATTGACCACAAAATGGGAACAATTATAGAACTCAATGCCTCCATTGATAAGCCAAGCCATAACATTTGTGGAACATCATGAAATGTTAATGAGCTCTATTGATCTTCTTATCTGCTGTAACATTTCAAAGCTGCATTAACTGTAGAATAAAAAAAAAGAGAAGATCAATATATAGTTCTATTTTAGACAGAGGAGACAGCTAAACACCGGACTGTGTTAATTTTCCATTTTCCGTCTGTCTTTTTTATGTGTAGGCCTACTATTTGAAAAAAGATATTCACAATATCGTTACTGAGCTAGCAAATCCGCACAACTCATTTTTGCTACTTTTGAGATATTGGAAAAAAAACTGTTTCTCTAGACTTTTTATCATCAAATAATGGTGAAACTTTCCATGCTTGTTTCTTTTGTGACTGCCACTGCACTTTTATTTCTATTTTAATAAAAAATAATAATGGATTGCATTTATATAGCTCATATCCACTTCTGCAATGCTCTATGCGCTTAACATGATACATATTATGGATTTACAAATCAATTTTAAAGGCACATAGTATTACATACACGTGCACACACATATTCACGCACGCATGCACCACATACACATACGTACACACATACACACATACGTACATATGCACATACGCACATACAAACTTACAACGATCTACAGCTTGGATGGATTCTGTCTAATCGAAATATGATGAAAATAGAAATGCTTTTAGTTTCTTCTTAAAAATTTCTAGATTTTCTGCTTCTCTGATAGTTTTTGGAAGCCTATTCCAAACAAGTGGGGCAAAATATGAAAAAGAACGTTGGCCATATGATTTGTAATTTATTTTAGGCTTAACAAGGGTTGTTTTGTCACTTGATGATCTGAGCGTTCTAGGAGGCACATAGGGTGTTAAAAGCTGTTTTAGATAGTCCGGTGATAAATCATGTAAGCACTTGTAGCAAGTTAAACAGATTTTATATATGATACGCTCTTTCACCGGGAGCCAGTGTAATTCTTTTAAAATAGGAGTCACATGATCATGCTTTAGTTTTTTAGTAATTATTTTGGCAGCAATATTTTGTACACTTTGTAGTTGTTGTAACTGTTCATCAGGTACACCAGCCAGTAAGGAATTGCAATAATCAATCCTTGACAATATAAGTGATGTTATTAAAGTTTTGGTGACACCAACAGATAGATATTTTCTAATGCTCCCTATTTTCTTCAGTTGGAGATATAGATTTTTACAAAGATTGGATACATGGTATTTCATTGACATATCTTGATCTAGCACCACACCTAAATTTCTTATTTTAGTTTGGGCGGATATTTCGTGGCCATTGATGTTTATTCTGATATTGTCGATTTCATTGCATGCGCTGCTACGAAGAAATAATATTTCAGTCTTATCCACATTTAATTTTAATTTGTTCTTGAGCATCCATTTTCTTATATCATTGATACATCTGGCGATTCTATGAAATTGTGTACATTGTCAGTTGTAGTGAATCCATACAGCTGTGTATCGTCTGCATAAAGATGGTAATTGAGGGCATATAAAGAAATTATTGATGACAGACTTTGCGTGTACATTGTAAAGATGACAGGACCAAGGACCAAATCCTGAGGAACTCCGTACTTTAGAGGCAACCTATCAGACACATCATTGCCAATTTTCACTGACATATACCTATTTTCTAGATATGATTTAAACCACAGTACCTGATAGTAAAAATGACTTTTCCAATCTCTCTAGTAAAATTTCGTGGTCGATGGTATCGAGCGCCGCTGACAAATCAAGTAGAACCAAAACACAGACTTTTTTATTATCGATTTCATTTAAAACATCTGATGATACCTTTAAAAGAGCGGTTTCCGTACTGTGGTGCCTTTTATAAGCAGATTGAAAAGGTTCCTACATGTCATTGGCCTTTAGACGTTGTTGAACTTGACAATACAACATACAACGGACAACAGTAACATAAAACGTTGTGTTCTGACTAAAGAAAATTATTGCAAATACCCATCTTATTAATTTAGAAACAGAAATGATTTCAGCTGACATTTGAATGAATCAAAAGATTTGATCTCTCTTAAAGTACTTGGTAAAGCATTCCAGATTTTGGGGCCTTGGTATTCAAATGCCCTTTCACCTATTGTTTTAAGTTTCATAGATGGTAAAATAAATTTCTTTTTGTCAGCTGATGACCTTAAACTGTGAGTCGCAAAGTACAGTCACAGATTTATTAGTGTGATATTATGTGACATAACAGTAAGCACGAAGGGACTTCTGTCACTGACAAAACACAGTTAAAAGTTCATAAAAGCCTCCTCCTGCAAAGAAATTCGGGACACAAAACAAACCACCCGTCTCTTTTCTCGTCTTTCTACACGTGATTCAGCCGAAAAAGCTTATCCATGCTTCATCTCCCATGACCGTTGCTAGTGAGACTCTAGAACCCACTTTGTCCAAACAAGCTGGAGAATGTTGTGTTTGTCTGTTGGATTTCTCATCTAGAGAATTTTGAGGTACATCTCACCTCCTCCCTTTTTTGTTCCTCAGTAGACAGGATATATCCAACAGGAAATCACTTTTTCTATGTTGACTTCTCCACAAAAATATTTTGCACCAACCCAAACAAGAGTCCGGACATATCAGTAAGTTTTCGTGTGCGGGTATGGGAATCCTGCACAAGCCCTCAACCACCCCTCTCCCCCCCTCCCCTCCCCCACCACCCAATTCCTTCTTCCCCAACCTCCATTTTCCCATTTTTTAAATTAAGTCTAAAAAAATGTTTGAAGGATGAAATACGAATTTTTTTAACTTCATAGACAAATACACATACTTTCCATAAGGCTTTTACTCTCATGAACCCTTTTTTTTTTCTCAAAGAGGCAACGACTCCAACCCGGTACCTTGACTCATTCTATAAAAGCATGCAAATGAGAAAATACCTTTGAACAGGTCGTTAAAATACAATTATCACCATTGTGTGTAGTGTAAAACCTCTCAAACAACAGGCAGACACAAACACAGCGATACTTCACCTTTCATCCAGCTCCAACTGTCCCGCACAGAGCGACAGAAGTCCTGAAAAAGTTAAGTACATTGTAATTTAATATATTTCAACATGATTTACCAACAAAATGAAACACTTTGACAAATACAGTTTATGTCCAGTTTGTATAACCGTGACCACATTTCTCCTGAAGCCGACAAGAACAAGAAAAATAGCAACACTGAAAAGAACAGAAAAACTTGAAGCAAACTTCAATAAAGCAGCTATTACTTCTTTAAAAATCTTGGGAAGTGTTTTACAGTGCTCGCAACTGCAAAAGGTCATATGAGCGCGCAGGACACATAAAACATTTTCAGCTGGTAGGAAATTTTGAATTTTTTGCTCGGGAGGCGGCCGAAGCCTACTCTTATAGATTTTAGACCACCAAGGGATCTTTAACATGTGCAACTTGCACACAAGACCTTCGGGATTTTTCGCCCTTGTCCGAGAAGGCTAGGTGCAGATCTTTCCTACCGGAAGATCAAGGGTATGGCTGAAAGACAGCACTAAGAAGGAGCTAAGGAGTAGCAGTAGAAAGGCTGCAGAAAGAGTCTGGAGCCCAGAAGAGGGGGCAAAGGAGGTGAGGGGGTAGAGGCAGAAAGAGGAGACGAAAGCAGACGACAGAACATTGATAGAGAGCAAGAAAGGAGGAGAAAAGAGACAATTTTCGAGAAGAAGAAATTTTCCGTTGCTATCTGGATTCAAACCAGGGACCTTTGAAGGAGAGGCGAACACCTTAACCTCTTGGCCACAAGAGCCCCTTATTAAAAAATCTTGTTAGGCAATATTTTCATGAGTTTTGCTGCATTAAAATTAAAGGACATGTACTATCATATACTGTGTACATCTTTTCATGAACATGTTGATAAAAGTGTTGAGACAACGAACTCCCCATCAATCCCCACAGAGACGGCACAGGGTTTACCCCCTGTACATTCCTTCAGGTTGATCAAGTCTGCACATGAGAGGGGGGAAAACTACACATTTTAAAAAAAAATCCAAACAAAGGCATATATTACAGGAATGTATTATGATGGATACTATCTAAGTGAAGGTTGGTAAAAATTACTATAAAGAAATTCTTCATCTCTTATGTTATCTTCTGCATTCCCATAATGCAATCCAATAAAAACTTTAAAGTCCTTTTCAGGGTCAATAAACAGGGTGTGACTCTCCGACCTTTATAATAAGAGTCTAGTAGCCCTCCACAAAGTTACTGTGAACAAAACATTAACGACTTTAGAATCATAATTAATGGCATGAAGAGTCTCAAGATTTACACTGATCGTATTTCTCCTTCCCCTCAGCTGCCTAAAATCAAATTTAT